GGAGTGGCTTCATGCAGTAGTGGCTGAGTCTTGGGGAACAGTGCTTTGTTTGCCTAATTTCTAGAGCAGTGGTCCTCAACCTTCCTAATGCTGTGACCCTTTAATACAGTTTCTCATGTTGTGGTGACTACCAACCACAAAATTATTTTTGTTGCTGCTTCATAACTGTAATTTTCCTACTGTTATGAATTGTAATGAAAATATCCATGTTTTTCAATGGTCTTAGGAGACCTCTGTGAAAGGGTCATTTGGGGTCACAACCCACAGGTCAAGAACCACTGTTCAAGAGAAAGGCTAAAAATTGGTGATTTTAGCCACCAGCAAGCAATTGACAGATGATTGCTTTTTGTTTACTTACTTCTTTCAATTTGAAAACACATTATCTCTCTTTGTTAAAAGGGGACCACATCAGAGGCCACTCACTCTGCCCACATGTAACAGAAATATTAAAGTATGGTAAAGGTTTAGTGAGGTTGAAAAGGAAGTGAAAATCGATACCTCCGGCTTAAGAAGAGAAGGTCTCAGCAGTTGATGCTGCCAAAGGAAATCAAAACAGGAAGAGATTTAGGTAAGAATTCAGACGGGAAATGTAGAATACCATTGCGAAGAGAGGGATAAAGGCAACAGCTTGGGCCTGTCACTTGAGATATGATTCACTGTTCACAGGACAGCTACCAAACTATTAAGTGACATTCTAGATAATTACTTGGGAATGTAAGGTGTACAAGAAGTCATTTCTTTTAATTTTGGTTATTTTAATTACATTTATAATAACCTCAATAACCAGCATCAATAAAGACACCTTTATTTAAGCTTTATAGCATGAAAGGTTACTTGGGTGTCTAAGAACAAATAACACGGGGACACTTTGACAAGCTTAACCTTGATTCAAGTTGTTTATCACTTTACTTCCCATCACATTGTAATCACATCCACTAGGAAGAATAGAAAACTGGAGTGACAAGATGCAGTACCTTTGGGATTACATTTAAGACATGGTCCTCATGCCCCCATTTCTTTTTAAATGAAACATTCATGCATGTTTTCAAATTGTCCCTCCTCTAATGTTGTAGAGCCTCCTACCTGCCTTCTACACCTTTAGTCATTCAGTGAGCTAACTTATGCTTCATGCAGATGGGAACTAATGCATGATCCAATTAGGAATAAGTGAATTTGGGGAATAAATAGTTAAGTGGAGACTCTTGCTTGGGAAGGTAGGAGACAGCTCTGGAAGTGGTCTTGTCTGGGAACCAGCTGCTCAAAATGAGCATTTAGACAAGTTGCTCTTTGAAAAGGAAAGGGCATTCAGGGTCGAGATTCTGGGTCGAACTCATCTGTCATCTGTTACAATCATCCCTGAGAACCAGTTCTTCCTATAGGTCATTAGTACAATTCTACATAGCCTAGAACTTACAAAATTCAAAATATAAGCTACTCAGAGAATGTATTTACATCCTTCTTTGGGTTGAGAAGCTGTGTGCTAAATCAAACTAGGATCCCAGTAACATTGCTGGCATCATCACTCACAAATCTGACCCAACATTATTGGTTAGAATCTTCAGTATGTTCTCTGTAGGCCGAGTCAGAGGAACATAATAGAAAACTCAGAGATTTCTAATGGTTCGATTGACTTATTAGACATTTAAGATATTTGGGCTAGGTAGAACCCTGGATTGTTTTTAGAGGAAGAATGTCAAGTAACTGTACAGCTTCTGAATCATAGCTATAGAACCAGAAAACCAAATTTAGCATGCTATCACAGTCCCAAATAGTTGCAATCGAGGACAACAGCATTAAAAGTTTTGATGGAAATAAAAGAAGATAAAGCTAGCTTCAAAAGAAGCAGCATTTGTCCTATGTATTATACAAAGGCTTCCCTTGAAGGCTTGGTGCTGTACCATGTGAAAAGGCCCTTACCTCTGGTGCAAAGCCTCCCCTGAAAGGCAGAAATGGAAACTTGTATTAAATACATGGATTTTCAGGCCAGAGAGAATTACAGATAAGGACCATTTAAGAGAATAAGAGGAAAATAGGAAAAAATTTACTAAAACTTGTCTCACCTATATTTCCTATAATAGAGTTATGATTGAGTCACACCTGAATTAATAAACAATTATCTCCACAGATCTTATATGATGAACTAAGTATATCCATTGATCAGGTGAAGGCTTTTGCCACCCAGCTTGATGAACTGAATTCAAACCCCAGAATTCACATGATGGAGGGAAAGAACCAACTCCTGAAAGTTGTCCTCTGACTTCTATCTATAGGTATGTTAGGGTCCATATTCTCCCTACTCCCATGCACAAACATATACCGGATGTAGAAATGTGAAGGTAACCTAAAAAGAATCTATTAGTTCATTTTGATTCTATTACGATCAACTGGCATAAAGGCATTCTATGCTGTCTCTATCAATCTCAATATGAATAATAGTTTCACCAAGGAAGAAATGCTTCTTAAACAGAAAGTCAGATGGGTATGTCTATACTTATATCCTTGAAAGTTATTGCACTTCTTTTGTCCACGTCAACTTGATTCTAGCAGTAACGAAAACAAAATAATTGCTACCTCCCATGGGTCAATTACATGATTAGAACTGGAGTGAAGAAGGTTTGACTTCCAAGTATTCAAAACTATAAAAAGATGAAGTTTCATGGACCACAAGTTGTACAATATTTGACTACACTTAAGAGGGACAACGAGTGTGACAATATGGGTGCCACTAATTATGAGACTTTTCTTTATTTTTTGTGTATTTAATCGTTAGACTGATGCTGTTAATCTTGTTGTATACAACTGTGACTAAGAGGTGTTACCAAGTTAAAGACGTGGCTTTCTAAAGGCACAACAAAAGCATCTCTGCAGAACACAGGCAGCCATACCTCTAGAGCCGTGGTTCTCAACCTGTGGGCTGTGAGCCCTCTCTGGGCCTCAAACAACCTTTTCACAGTGGGTCAAATGTCAGATATCCTGCATGTCAGATATTTATATTACAATTCATCACATTAGCAAAATTATAGTTAGAAAGTAGCAATGAAAATAATTTTATGGTTGGGGGGGTCACCACAACATGAGGAACTGTCTTAAAGGATGGCAGCTTAGGAAGGTTGAGAAGCACTGTACTCAGGATAAGTCTACAGATCTAACTGTGCCTTCAGTGGTTACCCAGTAGCTTGGTGGAGGTGCCGGTAATGAGGGGAGTGCAGTGTGACGCAATCCTCAACAGCTCATTTCCTGAATATCTCCGTAGTGAATTTTACAGTGGCCATATGCTTCTGCCAATGCACGTGGCTGTTACAGTCCTTCAGATTCTTGTAAAACTTGATAAGCATTCCAATTTATTCCATTGTCTTTCAGGCTCATATTTAGGACTTAATCCTGCTGACCACCACACACATCAGGCACGATATCCAGACAAATTCTATTTTCTAGAATATTTGGCCAAAAAATTTAATATCCTGGTTTAGTGGCTCCTGCTTATAACCCCAGCACTTGGGATTCTGAGACGGGAGAGTAGACCTGAGTGTCAAGTCAGTGTGGACTACATAGTGAGTGTGAAGCCATTGTGAGAGGTGAGTGCAAGGTGACAGAGTAAGATCCTTTCTCAAAAGTAATCACGCGCACACTTGTACGTTCTGGTGTTTTCATTGGGTATATCTATACAGCTGTTTGATCTGAAACGTAGAAACTAACCTACAAGAGGTCTATAAATCAATATTCATAATTATCTATGCTGTTTCAAAGTGTGAATATTGATAATTATAAAAAATCAGTCAGATAATACAGATGCAACTTTTATATGATTCTATCATATTGTGTGTAGCAATCATTCATTTTATATCCTGCATCTATATATATTTAATTTTAATAGTGACAAATGTGTGATGAATATTTTCTTTAAATTTTAAATAATCTATGTAAACCATCCTTTAGCCATCAAGCGGATCTTAACAAATGCAGAGGAAAGTAGGCCCTTTTCATACAGACAGGTGTCAGCTCGGAGCATGGAAGAGAGGGGGACATTTTGGGCCTATACATCTAAAGAACCTTTATAGGGCTCATGTAGAAGATAATTCAACTGACTTTCAGACACACCCTATCAGCATCCACCATATAGTGCAAATTCTCAGGCATAGGGCCAACAGAAATGCCAACAGAAGCTTTTCAGTGAGAGAGAAAAAATAAAAACAAAACACATTCAATACTCGCAGGAAAGCAATTACTTTGGATTTGGAGAAAAAGTAGCTGAAGCAGATGGACTACCAAGAATAAACAGATTTGCTGATTAAAAAAAATCTTGTTAATCAGGAATGAACATTAAGCTATTGAAGGGCTATCACCTCAGTGATGACGCGCTAGGAGGTTTCTCAGGCTTTGTGGACACACAGAATAAAGCCAAGCTTAACCCTGGCTGGAACACTTCAGCAAAACATCTGCTGTTTCCCTGAAGTAACGGAAGCTGTGGAGGCGGTCACAGCTGCTCTCCTGGAACATTGCAAATAACTATTTTGGAATTGCACCTTTCTCTGTTTAGGGTTATGTCTTCTCAAATACTACAATTCGAGAGTTCAACAAGTACAGGAATTTGAATAAAATTATAACTACTAGAAATCCCTACTTTTTAAACAATGTGTTTCAATGGAAAAACAGTCATGTGCCTCTCTATGTAGATATAATTTATAATGAATATGTACACTTCATGAAGATAGGGATGCTTAGCTTAACTTTTATTCCCAGAATTCAGTCTGTTGAGCTCAGGAATATTTTAACAATTACTGCAACTATGGGACTTTCTCCCCATGGGATAAATCTTTTATCTTCAGCCTAAAACAAGGAGCAAACATAATGAGCATAGAGGTGATAATACAATCTCTTCATTTTGAACGTGACTTTATTTCATTTACTAAATAAATTGGCTATCAAAGAATATTTTCATGTAAGGAAGAATCCTAAAATTATAATTAAGGAAATGATGTCATTATATGAAAAGGCTAAGTTAAATAGCATCTTAGGCAGCTTTGATAAAAATCAGATATCTTACAAAAGTCAAGGGCATGAGATTTATTTTCATCATAAAGAAGGAAACAGAAAATACCAAGAATAAAGGACTAGAACATCAACTAAAAAGCGGGAGAGATTTACCAGCTGAAAGCATACTAATAAGGTCAAAACAAGCCAGAATGGAGGGTATCATAAGAAAACCAATAACTACATATTATAGCACCTGAGATTGATTCGAAATCCCTGCTGTCTCTGTCACTCCCTACATTTCTAAGGAACATTTTTACCTGGGAAACATTTCTTTTTTTACCAAATACATAGACTTCAAGAAAATAACAAGCCCAAGAGAGAGCACTATTGCTTACTAATGGTCTGTTTTGCCGGTTTCCCCCCACTAGAACGTTCACATAAAACTATGGTCCAAAGCAACACTGCCCATCAGCAAAGTCAAACAAGCCTTTGGTTTTAGTTGGATCAGTACTTTTCATGCCCACATCTCCCCATGAAAAACAGATAAAGTTACTTACTTTTTAAATAAATGAAGGACAAATAATGCTACCTTGAAGTTAAGAAAATTAAGGTAAGTCTACTCTATGAGTTAGTGGCGATGATGTTAATTTAAATTAAAAGTGTGGAAGAAAACGGCATTGCATTGAGTTTGGGGTTAAAACAGAGGAATCTTCTTTGACGTTCGAATTCTCGTGCTCCACTTCAGGCTTCTGATCAAGAAAAGAACTGCCCAGTTAAAAAAGGAGAAGCAACATTACAATGATGTTGATTGACAGTGAGTTTGCACATCAATTCCCTCAACGACCCTAACCAACGTTTCCTGGCTCTGGTCACATGTGGTTTCCATGACTGTTTTGTCGGGAGGGCAAAACGTGTGTAGCTTTGAGAAGTCTGTGGGTGGACAGTTTTTTTCTATGTGACTGTACATGTTAGACACTGACTTCTCGAGTTCTGCTAGGTTTTTCACGTGTCTAAGGACCCCTTTGGGATGTCTGTGAGGTTCCGCGTCACACAGCCGTTTGGATGCTGGTGGCTGTGCCGTAGAAGGTTTAGTTTCTCTGGCGTGTGTGACACTGGCAGTGCATTTAACAGCTGGTATACAAATGCTGTCTGTGGGTGGACCTGAAGTCGAAGGAGGCAGTGGTGGGCAGAGGCGTGGAGCTGGCGGTCGAGGAGGAAGTGATGGTGGTGGAGGTAGAGAAGAGGTCCGGGGAGTAGAGGTGGGAAGAGAAAATGTAAGAAGCTGGGGAGGAGGAGGATTAGGAGGAGAGAGGGGAAGAGGAAAGGTAGTGAAGGCAACAGGAGGTCGAGGAAGAGGAGGCCGTGGAAGGGGTGCAGGGATGTTAGGTGGGTGGGAGAGGTTTTCAAAGGAGTTCCTTTTCGTTTCCGTATCTAACGTGCAAGTGGGGGTGTCTCTCTTAAAGCCTAGAGAATTGAAAACACAAGGTCTCGGAGGAGGAGGAAGTTCCAAGGTGCAGTCAGGAGGAGGAGCGACAACATTTGGTTCTGACCGGAGTTCTACCGCTCTGGAAATCGTTGGCAGAGTGGAGAATGAAAAGTGAGACCAGGAAGAAGAAAAGGAAGAGCCCGAAGATAGAGACTTCAGCTGCTCTGTTTGCTGTATGATCAGGGTGTCTCTGTGTCCCCTTTCTTTCTCTGACCCGTGGGCATCTTCGGTTGGGAGCAGGGCATTGCTGCTACCTCTCTGGGTTGGGTGGGGTCCAGTGCTTTCGCATTCAGCTTTCTGCCTGGTGATCTGCCACTCCACCAGGTCTATGGTCTCTGGTCTGTTTGGAGCTTTCCACATGAGCCTCCTAGGGAAACTCACAGACTGATTCCATAGCCTCTGAATCTTTTCTCTTGGGCCCCTCAGAGACTGACTCTTAACTTGTGTCCTGGGTGAAAATAGCTCTTCAAAATCTGTCCTTGGTGAAAGGTCAGAATTGGTTGACCTTTGACCTATACTCTCCATATAAAGGGGATTATGGGTACTTAAGTCATCCTCATCAGGAAGAAATGAGAACGTCCTTGCTGGCTTAGGCTGGCTGTCCTTAAGTGGTCCCTCTACATGGGCCGGCTCATGAGACTCAGTGGTACTGGACGAAAAGGCCATCCCATCGTGATGACTGGTCCTGTCTTCTGGGACCGAGTTATTTCCCCTGCTTTGTTCAAAATGGTAGAGAAGGAAAAGACTTGAAAGAGAAGAAGGAGACATGTTGTGAAATAGCTTTCATTAAGAGAGGCGTTCTCATGGTTATCATTCTATTTTACATTACAAAGGCCTAACAGTGCTAATTCATTGAAGCAGAACATCAATTTCAAGATCCTATTCTAGAAAAGACAAGGCAGGGGCATCTAGAGTTGGGAGACGGATGGGACATTCTCATGAAAATATCAATCTCTAGACTACTCCCCCCCCAGTTAGTTTGATATAGCAAAGTATCTGGGTCCATATCTAATGGTTTGTTCCTATATAAGTCACAGTTTCAGAGAGAGTGTGGAGGGCAGCTCAGCTTTTTTGTGTGTGCCCCACAAAAATATCCTTGCTGGAGGGTGCTCAGGGCACTGTTATGCACGGGTCTTGCTTGGTAGTATCTCATTAATGGTCCATTATATCGCATCTCAGTAACTCTGGGAGCTAAATATATCCACTGATACAAAACCAAATTTGTAACAATACAGAAAGGGATATCCCCTTCCCAGTTTAGAAAGATAGGAAAGTCCTCCGAGAGTTCAAAAGTCATAACTGAGAAATCAACTTCATGATACAATCCTGAGCTAAAACGATTTCTTCCCATTTATAAATTCCATGCTAAACTATTTTAAAACACAGTCAATACAAATAGAGGGGGGATTTACATTTTCTGCAAACATAAAGTGGGTCAAATTTTAGTCAGGGTTGCCCTTAATGAAAACATTTGTTAAAATAACATTGTATCACTACATGGTTTGTTCATGCATGAATACTGAGCAAGGGCCAGGAGTGGGTGTGCCTGCTAATTAAAGTTCACAAGTTTCAGAGCACAAATCAAGGGCCTGAGCTACAGCATTGGGACCCTTCCTTCTGAAAGGTTAGTTTGCCCTCAAGCTAAAGCATAACAGCAAATTAATTTTGTCACTTATTTAAACATGAAATAATATATAAGAAATAGTTATTAAGAATGGGGTAATAGATTAGGTAATAAAATGATATGGAACTCTGAAATTTGATGACAAAAACAGGCATGCTCACAAATGGGCTGGGATTATCACCTAATATGAGTAATTTAGAATGTATGGATTACTGGACCAAAAAAAAACAGACAACAAAGACTTTTTTGCCTTTCCTAAACTTGGAAAGATATTTTGAAAACACATCAGGTTATCATTTAACTTGATAATATATAGCCATTAGTTTTGGAAGAAGTGACCTATGAAATCTTAGATGTCACTTCAGATTGAAAGAAATCTGTCTGAATTTAAGATGAAGATACTTTTGAATCCTTCCCAGGTGGGCATGAGCACTGTCCCATCAAAAGGAAACTAGGCAGGGACGATGAAGTCTCTTTTAAATACGAATGCCTACATGGTGACAGATGAGGACCACTGTGCAGACAACAATACTCTCAATCTATCCCACCACTATCTACTTTCTAGAAGCTTTTTATTAGAATGATATTATTTACTTACTTATGCCTATGTATCCACAGGTGGGAAAGAGAAAACACATGAGAGGGAAAGAAAGTTTTAGCTATCATTAATTTGAGGCCATTATGCAATACTGACAGACACTTGTTTTAAACAATACACACATCCAAGAGAGAAAAGTGAATTTTTTTCAAAAAAATTTCTTTCCATTTATTCATGAGAATAATGTCTAATAATGTGTCAGATAAAGTCTTGTGGCATTTACTCCAGTGTCTTGTCACGTAGGATTTGTATCTAACACTAATTTGCTGGAGATATATAACATTTATCTTTGTGAAACATGGGTTATGTTAATCACAAAACAGAAATTTCAAATAAGGCCAAGAATCATGAATGTGTCTTAAATACTGGTTAGTGTGCACTATGACATGGAGATGGTGCTGGGGTTGGGGAAGAAAGTCAATCAGGTAACAGATGAGTAGTAGTTTAGAGTGTTACATTTACATAAAGTTATTTACCATGTGAAGATTTTTTTCAAAATTGATTTTTCTTTTAAAAATTAATTGGTAATAGTTCCCTTGGAGCTAGTTTATTTTGTAGCTTGCTAGGATCCTCATAAAACTATCAATAGAAAAATGTTTCAATACATAATTGAAAAATCTGCAAGTTTTCAGGTGCAAAATAAAAACTCTCCCTTGCAATTTACCCTCACCAAATACTACTGATTGCAGGTGCTGTTGCATGGAACTCTTTGTAAAAGTGGATATGTATATATATATATTTATCTCACTCATTGTTCTCATGGAAATACTGCCAACTTCACACAAATGCTTTTTTTTAATCTGAATGTTATTGCTGGGAAGAGCTGCTCGGTGTAATCATAGAATCAACTCATATTGGCTCAATTCCTACTTCACCAGTAAAAAATTCAATGAGAGCATCATTGTAGACAATGAAAGAGGTGAAAACACATACTTAAGGAATGAATCCTGTATGCAAATCCAGATCTGTGCTTTAAATTTTGCTTTAACTTCAACACACATGGGATATATATACTGCATATTATATCACATAGCACTATATATTTATACAACACTACAATGGCACCCATATACACTTTACATATACCACTCATGCATCTATCTAAATTGGTTTTTCCAGTAGAAGAAATTTTCATGATTTTTTAAGACTTGCTTTACTACTGTGGCTAAATGCAGGAAACATAAAAGATATGTTTTTAGTCACTAATAACAAAGTTTCCTGAGTTTAGGGCTCTTCACAATTGTATAGTATACTTAGTTGCTTATCATGACCCAAAGTAGTTGCTCTTGAAGTTTTATAATAAATACAAATTAAGTCAAATCAGACTGTGTGGGTTGCATCATTTGACAGAAACAGCTGTGAAGTCTCAGCCATACATAAACAAGCTCTGTCAAAATGTCTGACTTAAAATTGCACAGTATAGAGGTGGTGACCACAGCCGCTTCCAGAGCAATAAATACAGTGAGCAGACTGTTCAGAACACACCTTGCCCTTTCATAGTTCAGATTTAAGTGTTCCTTCATATAATATCCTACAATAGTATCTTCAGAATGTCTGATTTTAAACTACAGAATTTAGTTTTGATTGCCAAATGGAAGGTTTTTCTTTCCTTATCTCAAACCAGGAATTACCATTTTACCATTTGGATTTATTACAATCTCCTACTTAGTTGTTTTTTGAAGTCTATAATTTTGCTCAAGAAATTGTCCCAATATCATTAAGATTGGCAGACTAAATATAATATCCAAACTCTATTTTGTAGTTGTATGTTAACATGGATCTCTCTCTCTCTCTATATATATATAGATATATATAGTGTGTGTATATGTATTTTTTTTCTTGATTTGTTTACTTTTTATTTTTGGCTACCATTTTCCAAGTTAACTTTTCAACTATTTTTGACTTAATAATAAATGACAGAGCATAATAGGCTTACAGCTGTATTTCTGCATAGGCTTGGAACTAACTTCACGCAGAGCATCACTCCTCCCCAAAGCAACTGTTCCCCCTGCTACTCACATGGCGCTCTCTCCCAGCTCCTCATAGAGATGTGCCCCTGGAGGTGGTGGTGGTGGTGGTGCAGCAGGCACAGGAGCTGCAGGCTTGGCTGCAGGCATGGCAGACTGGATTCTTGCAGTCTTGGTACATTCAGCCTGGCGTCTTGAGTAGAGCAAGGTTGTCTTGTAAAACTCAGTTTAGGAACCATAAACAGTCAATAAATAGTCTATTGTTTTAATAATGAGGTTCTATTATCAGATGGGACCCACTTAAATCATACACATATATTTGAATTAATAAATTGATAGAACAGAGCATCCTCAGATATTCAATATGTATGTACATATCTGTCCCTTGGAGAAACAGAACTCACAGAAATATTTTCCAATTAATCTGATTTCTACCAATGTCTGTGACACTGGTGTTAGAGGTGATCTGTGGTTTTAAATGTCACAGACAGTATTTAATTTCTTTCTTAAAATTAAGGCACCAAATTGTAGAAATGATCAGAATACACCTTACCTTTCATGTTACTGTTATAACAAATGCACTAAAATCAGCTCACACACACACACACACACACACACACACACGCCTCAAAAATCTTAAATAAGTGCTAAGAAAAGAATACATAGTTCATGATGGTATGTCTGCTTGATCAATATAATGTCTGATTTCTCATTTACTATTACATAAATTCACATGCAAAAATATTCATAATGATACTTACACTTTAAACCTGTTTTGGAAAGCAGTGTGTAAGAAGAGAGAGCAACATTAGAAATACTAAACTAAATGGTTTGATAACATGATTTGCTATAAATTATGAACAAGTCACTGATTAATCTCAGCATGCCACAGTAGCAGGGAGAGGAAGGACTTGAGTTTGGTGAGTGAATGAGTCTACTTACAACTTATTAAAACATTCACCACAAAGAAAGATATAGATGAACTGTAGGGAGTAAGAAAAACTATTGAAACACAGGTCTGAGAGTTTCAATTCTCATAAGGAAATGGAAACGTGAGGATGACCTGATATTTGTAAGGGCTTGTTTGGTCTACTGGAGGAATATTGATTTTACTCATACCAGAATATGATATACTCCTTTGATGAATAGTTGAATGAAAAGAGAACCAATACTGCAGGATAAATGTGGAAATTGACACTAGATATCTTAGTGATTTAAAGTGATTTTTTTCAGTACTATTTATGAGGAACTTTAGATTTAATAATCAATTTGTTAAAGCAATCTTTCTGGATGGTGGTGGCGCACACCTTTAATCCCAGCACTCAGGAGGCAGAGGCAGGCAGATCTCTGTGAGTTTGAGTCTAGCCTAGTCTACAAAACAACACAGAGAAATCCTGTCTCAAAAAACCATACCCAAATGCCAAATGTTATGTATGTTTACAAGCTCACATGAACTTTGTTATGAAATTATCCACTTCACGTCTTCACATGGAACACATCTTGGACATTTCAAGTTGGGATCAACTCACTGTGTTCAATTTAAGAGAAAATTATTTAGTGATTGAAAAGAAGGTATGGTGACCTAGTTTTGAGTGTCAACTTGACACCCCTGAGAAGAGGGAAACTCATTAAGGACTTGCCAATATCTGACCGG